GGGTGTTGTGGCACCCAAGGCTCGAACTTCAGTCTCAAATGTCGCATTTGTGAACACCTTTGAAATAAAGCAGAATAGTAGCATTTGTCATAAGGCAGGCGGTTATGCAAAAATGTTGACTTATTCACTGGATGGAATATATCCACTTTTTAACCGAATCCGCGGAGAGTCGTCCTGAAGGATTTACTTCGAACTCACGCGTTGATTATTTACTAATTCAAATAGACTTAAGCTTACCAGGTTCACCATAAATGCCACGACTTCTTTTCTTTATCTCAATATTGTTGCAGTTCACTTTAAATGAGCTTGGTTATCGTTCACATTTTCACATTTTTAGAAAACTTATAATGCTTACTTGTTGATTCATAACCGTCTTCCATATGCGTTGCATGCTATGTATCCATATTTATCTGTTTCACACCCATTTAACACTGACCGCTTGCTTTCTGGCTCTGAACCCGCTCACGTTTGCCTTGTTAACTGATTTGCTGTTTTTGTGTGAAGGTCCTGAAGGAGAACATGGATCCATCCAACGTTTCAGGTACTAATAACAACAACATGACGCATTCGACCTCCAACTGTCTGAAAATTTGTGATCCGCCGTCACAGCTTACTGCAGAGAAACCTGCGTCGACCGATCCTGAAACGACTGAAGTAACACCTGAGTCCGAGGAGCAGGAAGTCAAGGCAGTCTCTGAATGCCCTGTTGAGGATAATCCCGAGCCCATTGTTGACGAGGAGGAAAAAGGTAGTCTTTATTCGCCCTTGGCTAGGGCCTTTTAACTCCCACTCTGCAGAGCTAATTAGTCAGCTGACGGACGTGCCGGACTTTGTCCCCTCGAATACCGATCTGCAGGCTTACCAGTCAGTACCCGCGGATATGCCGATACTGTGCGGTGAGACCTTTCAGAGTATTTGTATCTCCATTATTAGCCCATCTTCCTGCAGTAAACCGGTTTCTTTTCGCCTTCACAGTCTAATCAGAGATGGCACCTGTGATTTAGGAACTTTTCAGACTTACCTCTACCATCAGCTATGTTCTTGCGGTTTTGATGAGCAAGTAGTTGTTCATCTCGGGATCTCTGGACCCCGACAAGCCCAACCAGGCCTCATGGACC